CCTAGCGGGTAAGAGCCCGTTCTAGGTACGAGACCTCTATTATTCTCCCGTATAAAGATGCTATATACTAATAGAGGTAGCACTATATAATCTAGCGCAATTACTTCTATAATTATTACGGAAATTACAAGTTTTAAGATTAGGCGACCGAATATAGTTATAATATCTAGAACGAGTATTTAAACTCGTCGATAGAGGAGGAGGTAGAGCAGCTACTAAGTATAATCCTTAGTAAGACTAGAACAAGAAGCATATTAGCGCTAGCGCGTACGGCTAGAATAGTAGAGTATTATATTAAGCCCGAGGTAGAGCCTAAGAAGAAGGTGCGGAAAAGTACTAGAGGAGGTAGAAAGTAGAGACTACCTTCTCCGGTAGGCTATATAATAGTATTTTAGTAGCGGTTAGGGTTTATAGAGCGTAATTCGAGAGAAATATAATTTTAATTTAGCTCCTTATTCCTCCTTCTAAGATCGGTATTTTCTAATTATTAATCTAAAATATATATCTAGGTGTCCTTACTTTCTCTCTACGTATTTCTACCGTATAATTAGTAGAGAGAGTTATCGTACTTAAGACGTTTATAATATAGCTAATCCTTAATATTAAAAACCTCCTTCCTAAATAGGCAATATTTTAAAATATTTTAAGGATTAGCTCTACGGATCCTAAAAGTATAAAGCCTTTCCCTATATCTATTATATATATATTTCCCGTAGGGGAATAATTACCTTACTATTATTACTTCGTAACCGAATACTAACGATAATCGTATATATCTAGGTTATCCGCCGAATACGCGGTAATAATAGGACCCGGGGAGCGTAGAGTATACCTAATAAGTAATTTATATAACTTTATACGCGTACGGGAAATGCCTACGAGGAGTATAAGACTACTGCTTATATTCCTTCTTTATCTTTAAATACGATCTACCTTACTTTAATATCTAATATATTCTTTAACACTCCTATACCTTACTATACCCTCTAACCTCCTCCCTATCTTCTAGTATAAAGCGGAATTACTACTAAATAGCTCCCTATATACCTAAATCTATCGACGCTAGCCTAGCTAGCCTAGAGCTATAGCGCTAGATCGACGTTCGTAGCGATAAGGTAAGAGGTAAAAGGTTAGATAATAGCGCTTAGGACTACGAGACTAACTAGTAYAAACTAGCTCTAAGTAGCCGGCTTCTAGTTCGACCTTATAGCTAGCGAGCTAATAGATAAGGCTAAAGGCTCCCTCTTCCTCTACCGYACCCCCGACTTCCCCCTAATAAAGTTCGACTAGACTATAATAGCTRCTCTCCTTATYTAGAGCCGGTTAGTATAATAGCTCCTAGAATTAATGCCGGCAGCTAATAGCACTATAGCGGAGTTAACTAGTATAATAATCGGACGAGGGGTRGAAATAACGAGCGATACGGCCTATATATCTAGTAAAAGGGCCCGTTTAAGGTATATCTTATTACGAGTAGCCCGTATAATAGTAGTAGAGGCTAATAATAGCAGGAGTGCGTAGTCGCGAAGGGCAGTAAGAACGATACCTACGGAAATTACGTATATCGGAATATCTTTAGTAAGGGTAATAAGTATACCCTAGATCGGATAAATAGGTCTTAAATAAGTACTACGACCTTCTCTCTCTACTTTGTACGAGGGGTTTAATACGAGCGATAGTACGTTAAATAAGTTTAAATGTATAGTGGATTTTTGTTTTTAGTTTTCTTAACTTTTAGAACCTCTAAATATCTTTAAATTACATCTAAATCCTTCTTTACGACCTTTTTACCTATAAATATCCCT